AGCTGCCATTGAAGGCTCTTTAGCCTCATACTCCCCCCGGATCTGATTGGCGACCAGCTGAGAATCTGTCTTGAGGTAGACATGCTCGGCTTCCAACGATATGCACAGGTCTAAGCCAGCAATGGCTGCTTCATATTCGGCCTCGTTGTTAGAGGCTTTGAATGAAAATTTTAGTGCATACTCGAAGGTTTTGCCTTCGGGAGAGGTGATGACGACCCCTGCCCCCGAACCGTTCACGGTGGAGGACCCATCCGTGAAGACGGTCCAGATTTTCCTCCTTGCATCCAGAGTCTCCTGATAGGAGCACTCGGCCAAGAAGTCTGCCAAGGCTTGCGCCTTGATGGCTGTTCTCGGCTGATAACCGATACTGAACTCGGTGAGCTCGAAAGCCCACTTTGCTAGTCTACCGGATTTTTCAACCTTGCCGAGGACTTTCTCTAACGGCTGATCAGTTAGAACCGCTATTTGATGAGAATCAAAATAGGGTCGCAACTTCCGAGCAGCCACCACCACTGCATAGGCCACTTTTTCTAACAATGGGTAGCGCGTCTCGGCATCCGTCAGGGTGTGGCTGACGAAATAGATCGGCTGTTGAACTTTTTCTTCTTCCCTTAGCAGCACCGCGCTTACCGTGGCTGGACTGACCGCCACGTATAAGTATAGGATGTCTCCTACGACTGGCCTTGCCAGTGTTGGGAGTTGAGCCAGGTGTTCACGGAGCTGCTGAAAGGCTGACTTTTGTTCGTCTCCCCATTCAATGCCTTTTGAATTTTGGAGCTTCAGCGCCTTGAAGAAAGGGAGCCCTTTGTCTGAGGCTCGTGAGATGAACCTGGACAAGGCAGCCATTCTCCCGGCTAGACGCTGAATATCCCTTTTTGTCTTCGGCTCGGGGAGGTATAAAGCAGCTTGTACTTTGGCGGGGTTTGCATCAATCCCCCTCTTGCTGACCATGAAGCCGAGGAACTTGCCTGACTTCACGCCGAAGACACATTTCTTCGGATTCAGCTTCATTTTGTATTTTCTGAGGGTGGCGAAGGTTTCGTCTAGGTCCGTGACATGATCTTTTTCTTTTATGCTTTTGACGATTGAGTCGTCAACATAAACCTCCATGTTTCGGCCTTTTTGCTCGGCGAAAACCTGATCAACCAACCTCTGATATGTTGCCCCCGCATTTTTCAATCCGAAGGGCATCATTCTGTAATTGTACAACCCGGAACTTGTTATGAACGCTGTTTTAGCTCGGTCCTCGGGGTGCATGAAGATCTGATGGTATCCCGAGAATGCGTCCATGAAACTGAGCAGAGCATGCCCGCTTGTCGAGTCGACCAGTTGGTCGATCCTCGGCAGCGGATAGGAGTCCTTGGGACATGCCCTATTCAGGTCCGTGAAGTCAACGCACATCCTCCAGTTACCATTTGCCTTCTGAACCATTACAACATTGGCCAGCCACTCCGGATACTGACAGGGTTCAATGAACCCAGCATCTAGGAGCTTATCGACCTCAGCTGCGATGTTCTGGTTCTTTTCGGCGGAGTAGTTCCGCTTTTTCTGCTTAATGGGTCGACTGGAGGGGTCGACATTAAGCCTATGGGAGACGAAGTCCGGATCAATCCCGGGCATTTCTGCGGCTGAGAAGGCGAACACGTCTCCACTGGCCCGTAGGAGTTGGACGAGTGCCGCACGGGTGTTTGGCTCCAGTGACGACCCGATGCTAACACATCTGTTCGGATCTCCTACGGTCAGTTCTATTGACTCGGTCAGGTCATCCGTCTCCATGCTCTTAGAGTTGGATTCCTCGAATTCCGGCCTGCTATCAATATTAGCAGACTTTCCTGACCGCGGCTGGCCATCAGAGTCGTTCGGCTCTGAGGCGGAGTCAGCCTTTTGGCCCCCATCAGATTTCTCGTTGTCTGGGGCTTCATTAGCCGAAACGTCTGAGCCTCTCGGCTTTTTGGCGTTTCGGTCCCGGTGCTTTTCCTCCCCATCGCCACGGTCGCCTCGGCGAGACGTGGATGGCTTGAGGTGATTGCATCGGCGGGCTTCTTTTTGACTGCCCTTTATTTTCTCGGAGCGTCCCTCGTCTGAAACGTATATCATGATTTGATGATACGTGGAGACGACTCCTTGAATGCCGTGAATGAGGGGTCTCCCCATGATCACGTTGTATGCAGATGGAGCATCTACGACCAAAAATTCGGCCATGATATTCCTAGCTGCTCGGCCTTCGCCGATGGTGACAGGAAGTGTAATCTTCCCGTCAGGATACGAGGAAGAGCCGTTGAATCCAGACACCGGGTAGGGTGCGGGGGCCAGGTGCTCGGCTCCCATCCTCAGCTGGTCGAACGCTCCTCGGAAGAGGATGTTCGCCCCGCTACCGCCGTCGACGAGGGTCCGCCAGACGTTGCGGTTGGCGATGCCCAGAATGATTACTAGTGGGTCATCGTGGGGGTATACCACCCCCTCACAGTCTTCGGCTGTGAACAGGATGTTCGGCGCCGGTGACTGGGACTGCCGAAGCTCAGCCTGATGAATCTGATGGGTTAGACCCCTCAGTTGGCGTTTGGCTGTGCCTCGCGAGATTCCCCCGGAAATAACTAGGATGTCGAGGGACTCCTTGCCCTGAGGTCCCTTATCCTTCTTCCGAGCGAAGTTGAGGTCCTGCCGAGAATCTTTTTCAGCTTTTTTCTCCTCGCGCCTGTCCGCGAGGTATTGGCTCAGGTACCCCTTGCGGACCAGATCCTCAATCTGGTCCTTCAGCTGGACGCAGTCCTCGGTGCGATGTCCGGGTGAGTCATGGAACTCGCACCACTGGTCCTTTCCCCTCGTCTGATGCCAGGGAGGCAACGGACGAGGTTTTTTGAATCTCCCCTCGTCCTTCGTCGTGCTGAAAATCTTAGCACGGGGAAGGGAGAGTGGAGTGTATGAATCGTACCTTCCCGTGTAGGGAAAGTGTCTTTCCTTCTTCGGCTCGGCAGCAGAGGACGGTTCTGAGGCCTTAGCCTTCCCTTTCCTCTGCGCCGAGACTTCGGGCTGCTGCCCTTTCGGCTTCTCAATTCTCGGACGAGACTGAGACCTGGATCTGTTCCACTCCTCGGCTCGGATGAACCTATCCGATGCTTCCAAGGCTTCCTCCAGGGTCTGCGGGGGATGCATGACCATGAAGTCCAGGAACTTTCCAGCTTGGAGGCCGTTCCGTAGCGCGAACACGGCCAGGCCTTGATCCAGGCTTGTGATTCCGGATGACTCGTTGCTGAAGCGAGTCAGATAGTCGCGGAGGCTCTCGTCCTCCGCCTGCTGCAGACTCATTAGCTCTGCAGTGGTCTTCTCTCGGCGGTTGGCCGTAGAGAATTTGCTCTTGAACTTGTTGGAGAGGTCGTTCCAACCGGTTATGGAGCCTTCCTTGAGCCCTTTGGTGATCCAGGATTGGGCAACACCTTTGAGGGTCGTAGGAAAGTATTTACACCAGGTAGCCTCAGACCTCGGGTTCAGATACATGTGCCCCTCGTAAGAGGCAATGTGATCCTTAGGATCTGAGGTACCATCGTAAGTAATATGTGCCGGGATTTTGACCGTTGGCACATGCTCTTCCAGAATCCACTTCTGGAAGGGCGAGTTCGATGGAACCATGACCGCCTTCCCCTTGTACCCAGCCTCAGGGACCTCGCTCCCTCCTCTCTCAGAGGTGGAAGTGGTTTTCGTCCCCGGCTGAGACAAGGTTGGGTGGGGTCCGGTATCCTCTGGGAAGGTGAGGCGGCTATGCACACTCACCTCCCTCGAACCCAAGCGTTCGTGAACGCTTTGGCGGGCGAATTCCGGGTCCTTGGAGGGCCCCATGGAATTCTGAGCTTCGGAGTGGTCAGAGGGTTGAGGGTTCCTCCTCCTCTCCTTACTGGAGTTTCGGGTGTCCCCTCGCCACCTCTGGCCGAGCTCTCTATGTGGTGGAACTTGTCCACCATCATCCTGACCGATCCTCCTTTTCAGGTTTCTCGGCTGGTGATCATCAGGCATCTGGATTGGAGCCCCTTGAGCTTTAAGGAACTCCATGCAGATGGCCACTGCTCTGGCCACTTCCTCGGTGGAGGGTCCGGAGGGAGGAGTCTCCCGCGGATGTGACCTGGATTGCACGCTATGGCGCGGCGGGGAGTTCCTCGCACCTGAGCCACTCGGTCTCGGGATGGCCCCGGCTGCCGAGTGTGGTGCGAGGTGTTCTCCTCCTGGAGGCTAGGACCTCTTGAGGCTTCCCTTTCCGGAGAAATGGGGGCCTCCGATTCGGAAGAGGCTTGCTCCGGGGAGGGATAAACCGGCTGGCGTTCCCTCACCGTAATCCGGCCTCCTCCCTTCTTAGCCTTCTTGGAACTCTTTCCACTCTTAGTCATGGCGACTGCCGGAGTGTTTGATGACTGACGCGAAATTTAGTAGCGTTCCCCACAGACGGCGCCAAATTGTTTCGGATGAAAACAATCGAATCTCGGAAGATCCTTTTATCTTGAGGGAACTTGGTCTCGGTCCGAACGACGCAGGAGCCGAGGGTTTCCTGCACAACAAATACACGTAAACTAGCCTCGGGGGGGACGCCGAGGAAGGCCCCTCCGATGCTTAAGTCAGTATATTAGAGAGAGAAAGCTGTGCAAGAGTTTAGTTGCTTGAGGCTTTATTGTCTTACCAAGAATTGACCAAATTGTTGGCTTTTATACCTTGGCTAATGAAGGAGGCTGATTGGGCCGTTGACTGACCTTGACATGGCTTTGAGGATGTTGATTTTTGACTTTAGCACATTTGGAGAGTTGAACCTTAACCTTGGGCTTTTAATTGGATCATTCAGTGACCAGGCCCAATTGGACTAAATTGGACCCAAACACGTGTAATTTTGTGTTGACTAAAAAAAATGTTATTTTCTGCGTCAAAAAAAAAAAAAAATGTTATTCCAAGTTGTGAAGGTCACGTATAATGTACAAGCTTGTCGACCATTAAGAGTTAAGGAGCTCCTTATATATAAGCGTCCATGAAGTTTGACATTTATAACTAATAACGAGTTGTATAAGTGTAGCACTACTATTTTAGAGGAAAGATAAATAAAAAAGAAAATACAAATGGGTCGTCGGATAAACTTCGTGGTGGTGGTGATGATATTAGCAACCATGACGATGAGATCGACAAACGCGGATTACGGAGCGTACACGCCATCGACCTCCTACACGCCGTCGACCTCCTATTCACCAACAGAAATATGGCAATCAGGGCATGCTACGTTTTATGGGGATGAAAGTGGCTCTGAGACCATGGGTTAGTCTTATTTTTAACAACGTATTATTAAGCTTTCGTATTAAAACGTATATTGTATACTTGGTACAATTTTATTCGTCCAATAAAATGTTTGAGTTTATTGAATATTTATCCCATACAATCATACAATACGTAATTAATTAATGTATATATAATGTTATAAACATACTACGTATATAGATACACATATATAGTCGCATACATTAGTAGTATGGATTGTTCCTCACCTCATGTAAATGTGGCCTTAGCAATATTAATATAAATAAATGGGTGTTTTTTTAAAAAAAAAAAAAAATATATCAACACTTTTACATTGTCAAATTTTGCATGATTCTATGAATAATAAAATGATGACCAAGAGCTAATTAATAATTTGGAGTTTTGCAATAATGTTGATTAGTATATTTTGGTAAAGAATGAATGAATTGAGTAAAAGATGGTGATAAACAGGAGGAGCGTGTGGGTACGGAAACTTGCATGATAGCGGGTACGGATTCGAAACGGCAGCACTTAGCACGGTGTTGTTCAACAATGGTAACGCTTGTGGAACGTGTTACGAAATCAAGTGTGTCGAGTCAAAATGGTGCTTCACCAATGCGCCTTCGATAAAGATCACAGCCACTAACCTCTGCCCTCCTAACTGGTACCAGGCTAGCGATGCCGGCGGGTGGTGCAACCCACCTCGCTCCCATTTCGACTTGTCTAAGCCCATGTTCATGAAGATTGCTGAATGGACTGCTGGCATTGTTCCCGTTAGCTATAGAAAGTATGTTTTCAATTCCTCCATTTCATATTATTTGTTCTTCATTTTTTTATTTCATACAACGCAAAGTAATCCCTATCATACGGTGTGGCCAGTCACATATGAAAGTTTCTGTATTCCTATCATATATTCATATGAAAAGCTTAAAAATATATTTTTAAAAAAAAAAAATTCTAACATCTTTCCAAATCAATCCAATCCATTATGACCGACAAACAACCCTATGTGTAATTTATTACAAAATACTCCGTAATATGTAATTCTACGTATAATATCATATAATATGTGTAACAAAAACTTACACTGTTACACAGTCCAAGATATGAGATTAAATCCAAATATATTCATGCATGCATGAGATCTACTAATAACCCGTATATGTGTGATTAAATCCAGATGTATTCTTACAATGTATGTGTGCGTTCTATTAATAATCGGGAAAAATTTATGTATATGCAGGGTATCATGTGGAAGGACAGGAGGAATTAGATTTCAATTCCAAGGGAATCCATATTGGCTCCTAGTGTCCGTGATAAACGTAGGAGGAGATGGAGATATATCCCAAATGTGGGTGAAAGGTACCGAAACTGATTGGGTTAGCATGAGCCGTAATTGGGGAGCTTCTTTCCAAGCATTCTCCAAATTAGGAGGCCAACCTCTTTCTTTCAAGCTACAAAATGCAGCTGGACAAATTGTTATAGCTTATAATGTTTGCCCTACTTATTGGTCTAATGGGCTAACTTATGAATCCAATACCAATTTTTATTAACCAACAACTAACCTAACCAGAAAAATAATGATCGATGATTTAGGACCGTCACATTATTTACGGCTGGTAGTCTTAGAGAATTGTTCACTTTTGAAATTGTAGCAATTTTTAACTATTGCTTTTTACATATGTAGGTAGCATTCTTTAATTTCTCTATATAATTGAAGAAAGCCGGCTACTCATTATGTCCTTGCGTGTTTTTATTGAATCCAAACATTTTGCTCTTTATTCATGATTCAAATTATAAACTATATAATACTTATAATTATCCTCTTAGTAAGCAGTAATAAATACTCAATAGAGATGGATTAGGTGTCTAAAAGACGTACTTCTATTGAATAAGGTTAGCAAGGCTCGCTCTTGCATTCAAGCATTCGACAACTTAAGTGCATGTACGTACGTCCAATAATAGTCAATGCTTATTAAAAAAAAAAAAAAAAAAAAAAAAAAAAAAAAAAAAAAAAAAGTCTTACATGATTCATATGTATTAACCAAATGGAGATCTCAATTCAAGGTCTAACACAACATATCTCACCTACCAAAAAATACCAATAATATTACTCACGATCAAGTTAACTTAGTGCTTAGACACTGATCAAAGAGGTTTTCCATGAAATCAGCCCCCAAGGCCCGGCCCCCTTCATGGCTACATGCATATTATATATTATTGGTCGTATGTGTTTTGAGTTTTGACATTAAACACAACCTTAAATCCTTAATAATTCTTAATTCTCATTAAATTGATTATTTAATACTCAAATTAAAACATACGGCAATAAAAACAGGTAGTCATATATTCATATGAGATTGACTATAAAGTGTATATACAAACTGCTATACAATTATAACCTTTCTTTTTACACGATATATAAAGTACTACATCTGCGTTACTAATCTTAAAACTATATGACCTACTATTAAAATTTATTTTACTTGAAAAATGAACTTGAATAACGCTTACTTTCCCTTATCAAAACATCTCAATTATTTTTCCTATATCTTACAATATCAAATTTATTAACTCTTTTTTGGAATTATTTTATTTGTTTGAAACAAAACAAATGGAAATATAGTGAAATTCCATGTCCCGACTTTAGTGGGGGCTCATAAAGGGATTAAATTATGGCAAAAGCTAATGAGCGCCCCCGGGGCGTTAGATAAGATAATTAAAATGCAAATATTAGAGTAAAATTAACATTAATTACACCGAACGACGCGTGATTTTGTCATGAATTCCTAACTTAATATCATTTCAACCAATATAATTTATCCTTATCTAACGCCCCGGGGCGCTCGTTAGCAAGATCGTTAAATTATTACTGAGTTTTATATTCATCAACTTAGGCAAATTGAAGTAGAATATAGAGAATTAATAGAGTAGTAGGCACTAGGCAGTAGCTGAAAATATATATGTAATAATTAAGCACCTCAATTAATTTAATTCAGTCACTTTAATCTCCTTAAATTATATGGTTCTTATAAGATTTGAACTCGCAACCTCAAATTAAAACTCCAATGTGTTAATCACTAAGCTATTACCATATTACATATCATTCAATAAAAATTAAATATTAATAAAGATTTTTATCATGAAAATAATGGAGTAACTCGGGACATCGCCCGGGCCTAACACTAATTATGATTTATATGGTGTCTGAAATGTATTGTCAAACATACTAGGTCTTGTAAAGTTGTAATTACTATACATGAGACATTAAACTTTTCCAATAAAGTTGTAATTACTATACATGAGACATTAAATTTTCCAATAAAAAGTTATTAAAGCCTTGCTTGTATGTTGGTAATAACCAATAAGTTTTAATCTCCCGCAATAACAATCGGGAGGGGACTGGAACCTAACCACCCAAAATTGATCCCCGAATCCGAATTAGCCCAAAGGGTGAACCGGGTAGAACACAAAAAAAAAATGTCTATATATATGCTAGATTATTCCTAAACCTAAAGTATTACTTGTATATATATTACCTCTAATGAATATTATGATACAACGTGTAAATTTGTCTGGACTAGCGAATGAAAGAAAAAGTATTATTCCAAGTTGTGAAGGTCACGTATAATGCATAAACTTGTCCACCAATTGGAGCTTATTAGGAGCTTCTTATATATGTTTGTTCATGCACTTTGACATTTATAACAAACAATTTACAAAAATAGCACTAAATAAAAAAACTAAAAAAAAATGGGTCGTGAGAAGTTGATGATGAGAGTAAATTTTGAAAGCTTCAACCTCATGGTGGTGGTGGTGGTGGTCTTGGCGACGATGACAACAAAATTGGCCGTCGTGGATGGGTCTTATGGACGGTCCTATGGCCACAATAAACATAGATGGTACACGTCGCCGTCTACCTCATACACACCATCAACCTCCTACACACCGTCAACCTCCGATATGCCATCGGCCTCTGACACTCCATCGGCCTCCTACACGCCATGGACCTCAGACGCACCGTATACGGACACACCGTCGACATCTGATATTCCCTCAACCTCTGATGTCGTGCCGTCAACCTCGTACTCGTCATCGTCATCGTCAGCATGGCAATTAGCTCATGCTACGTTTTATGGGGATGAAACTGCTTCCGAGACCATGGGTTAGTTTTGCTTCCATTTATTATATATGCCTTCATATTTTATACTCCATATAACTATATCAGAAAGACTTTTTGATGGCTACATACACAAAATTTATAGCTATTGTAAAATTAAAAGCTTGAAATTTAAAGAGGTTATATAATCTTGTCTATTGTTATATCATCATATAACACAAAGGGCATGCAAGTATTACAGACTACATACCTATGTTACCTTTGTCAGTCTGTCACATACTTCCTCCGTTCAATTAATATTGCAACAATGGACTTTTTGCACTATTCATCACTCTCGTTTGACCATATAACATGAGTTATACGTTAAGCAAAATATAGTCAAGTGAGATCTTGTTGGGTTCGTCTCATAAAATACTTTCACAATATCAACTTTTTATAATTTTTACTTTTACACAATTATAGATATTTAGCATATAAAATGTGTTTTGGATACGTAATTTCCTCCTTGTTGCAATATTAACTGAACGGAGGAAGTACATTTTATGTGCAACTTTTAAACCTTATTTATGATACATAAAAATATAATTAAATTTGATTATGAGCAGGAGGGGCGTGTGGATACGGAAACTTGCACGATAGTGGGTACGGATTTGAAACAGCAGCGCTTAGCACGGTAATGTTCAACAATGGGAAAGCTTGTGGGGCTTGTTACGAGATCAAATGTGTCGAGTCAAAATGGTGCTTCGCCAACGCACCTTCCATTAAGATCACAGCCACCAACCTCTGCCCTCCTAACTGGTACCAGGCCAGCGATGCCGGCGGGTGGTGCAACCCACCTCGCTCCCATTTTGACTTGTCTAAGCCCATGTTCATGAAGATTGCCGAATGGACTGCCGGCATTGTCCCCGTCAATTATAGAAAGTATGTATACAATCCTCTATTCTACTAAACATCCCTAATAGTGGACTTTTTTTTTTTTTTTGGGTACTATTAAGAGGCATTAAAGAAGTTTAGGTGCCACGTGGCGCGTTCTTACAAGATTTGAACCAACAACCTCAAGTTTAAACTCTAACGTGTTAGCCACTAAGCTATTACCATATTTCATGTCATTTAATAAAAATTTATTACTAATAAAGATTTTTATCATGGAAATAATGCAGTAACTCGGGGCATCGTTCGAGCCTAACACTAATGATCTTTTACTAATGTGCGGATTTGACATTGTTGCAGGGTGTCGTGTGGAAGGCAAGGAGGAATTAGATTTCAATTCCAAGGGAACCCATATTGGTTGCTAGTGGTTGTGTTGAACGTGGGAGGAGATGGAGATGTATCCGAAATGTGGGTAAAAGGTGCTCAAACAGATTGGATTAGCATGAGCCGAAATTGGGGAGCTTCTTTCCAAGCATTCTCCAAATTAGGAGGCCAACCTCTCTCTTTCAAACTCCAAAATGCAGTCGGAGAAACTGTATATGCTTATAATGTTTGCCCTACTTATTGGTCTACAGGGCAAACTTACGAAGCCAATACAAATTTTATAAACTAATACACTAATTATTCCGATCCTAACAATTACATGATATAGGCCATTCACGTTATTTACGAGTGGTATGTAGTCCTAGACAATTGTTCACGTACGGAGTTGTAACAATTGTTTATTGCTTCTTATATATGCAGCACATTCTTTAATTTCCCTATGTAGTTGAAGAAGACTGGTTACTCATCATGTTCTTGCGTGTTTTTAATGAATCCATACAATTAACACTTTATTCATATTCTTTATATCAAATATTCTACAAATTTTGCCTTATATATTACTCCTTATTACCCAAATCTATTAATAATTCTTGGGGATGTGTGTGTTTTTAATGGAGCAATATGTCATGATTCAAGTCCCACACCCACCAAGACAGCAGCAATGTCAATTGGGCACTAGGCAACAATTCGAGCCAAGGGAGATGCCCATGGATGCTAGGAAGCACCTTCCCCCTGAAGAGCTTTATGGCGCTAGGGGGCAGTTTTCCTAGTGAACACCTGATTAATAGTAACACAATAATGGGTCGTTTGGAGACCAAACGAAGCCCAAACTTTGGCTATCTACCGTTTTTGAACCCATGGAAGACATTGGTGCAGTCGGATTTTCGAGGAGAAGTCCGGAACATTCTATAATGTGTTAGGAGTCTCGGGATTTGTCCGGATACTTCTAAAACATTCTAGGATACCCGTATACATTCTCGTAGTCCTAGAACATTGTAGAATACTCCAAAATGTTGTACATAAGAGGTGTAACCAAAATTTGTATAGAAGTCTCTAGAAAGCTAGGCTTTTGGGACCCTCCATTTGAGGAGGTTAGAACTTTCTAGAGTAGAATTCTTTAGGCCTTGGGAACACTATAAATAGGGAGCTTCCCCCTCATTTGTACAATCATTTGTAAACACTATCATTCTCAAGCAATCAAAGTTCTCTTAACTTACTCTCTCTTGTGCTTACTTACTTTCTCACTTAATACTTAAGCTTTCGTTGCCTTCTTTGCTAGAAGCAATACTCGGGGTTAGGCCTTGACTAGCAGCAGGAAGTTAGTGGGGGGGGGGGGGGGGCGCGTGCACACGATTAGGGGAGTTAGTCCGCACGTGACAAATAGCTATTTTCTTAGAGAATATCAACACGTATTTTACATAATACAAGATGATATGATTAACCTTTAATTATTTACTTGATAAACAGTAATAAATTAAAGGAAAATATACATAATACGAGTATGGTGTTAACCTAATAGAGGTACTTTATCAACTATCAAGGTCCGTTTCCACATATTGTACCAAGAAAAAAACCAAAATAGCATAGACAACCATGAGTCCATGATCAGTTGATCAAAACTCAAATTTTTGACAAAAATGTACTCTTAATTACTTAATTTTCATTGCTAATCTTCGCATATATATGATCACACATCGCTTTTGACATCTCATCAACCATGAAGAATATTAACTTAATTCGAATTTAATTTAGCAATGTCGATTTAATTATAAACACAAATTTATGATTCAAGTGTAGAAATAATCTGAATAACCTAAAAAAAATCTAGTTGTCGTTTGAATGACGAAAAAAACATTGGTTAAAGATATATTATGTGAAGTACTTGTAAACTAAAACGTAAGTGAAACCCAAACCGATAGATGACGGTTAAAGAGGGCCGTGAGCGTGGCGGCACGAGCCCGGCACGACCACTGACCCATTTATGCTACAAACTTCATTTCACGTTTAAAATATAGGGGATTGTTCATATTTTCCAACTAAATGTTCAAAATTTGTAATTGTTCAGATTTTATACTAAATATTCAAAAGTATATGCGTAATACATTGCAATTGTTCATATATTTTTACAAAATGTTCAAAATTTGTGATATTCGGATTTTTTTTTTTCTAAATAATCAAAATTTGCAATTGTTCAGATTTTTTTTACTAAATGTTCAAAAGTATAGGCGTGGTACATTGCGATTGTTCAGATATTTTTATTAAATATTCCAAATTTGCGATGTTCGGATTTTTTTACTAAATGTCCAAAATTTACAATTGCTCAAATCTTTTTAGTAATTGTTCAAAAGTATATGTGTGATACATTGTGATTGTTAAATTTTTTTTACTAAATGTTCAAATATGCGATGTTCGGATTTTTTTACTAAATGTTCAAAATTTGCAATTGTTCAAATTTTTTTACTAAATGTTCAAAAGTACAGGTGTGGTACATTGTGATTGTTCTAATATTTTTACTAAATGTTCAAAATTTGCGATGTTCGGATATTTTTTTTACTAAATTTTCAAAATTTGCAGTTGTTCAAATATTTTTACTAAATGATCAAAAGTATAGGCGTGATACATTGCGATTATTCAGATATTTTTACTAATAAATATAGATTCAAATTACACAATCAACAATAAAATAATGGATCAATGAGCATAGAAGTCAGAATTATTTATGAATTGATCAATTATAAGCTATTAAAAATTAAAAATAACATTCAAATATACAAATAATCATATTTAGCAATGTATTCAGCAAATTGAACTAATATTGAAATAATTTCATACAAATTAATGAAATCAATCACATTCATACAAATTAATGAGAACGATCAAATTAATCGATCAAATTAGTGAGAGAAATCAAATATATCAATCAATCGATCATAATGGATTGAAATTGATCGGATTAGATTCAACAAATTCAATTGATATTAAAACAATGATTTCATTCATCCACAAATTCATCTCAAAATCAAAAAATAAATCAATATTGATCACAATGAATTCATAATAACTAACCTAGATTGGTCTCTTCGGGAATTTCGACAATTTTCATCACGTTAAATGCAACAAATCAATGGAAAAAATTAAAGACCAAAGGGGAGAGAAAATAAGAACTAGGGAAAAAAAAAGGAATGAATTAAAATAAAAAAGAAATAGAAATAGATCAGATTAAAAAAAAAAAATATTGTAAAGAAGAAAACAAAAAAGAAGAAGAAGAAGTTAAGATGGCAGGAAAAGCAGTAGTAAAAATGTAAAATGAGTTGCGTTTCATTCATATAGACATGTGTTTAGTAAGTGGTGACCAGGGACTATAGAAGAATTTGCAGCACGACACGGTGACCAATGAATAGGTCGTGTTGTGAACACGATTTCAAGAATTCGGCACGAGCATGACACGAACTTGTAGGCGGCATGGTAGTTTGGCCCGCCAACACATCACGCCAGGCACGACCATAAAATAACATAAATAATAAAAAAGAACTATAATAATAAAATAAGAATAATAAAAAGAACAATAATAATATAATAATAAAAACATAAATACAAATTAATAAAATTATTTAAATAATGTATCCATTTTAAAATTTGTTCAAAAAAATTTTAAAAATTATGGACGGCTCGGTGCTCGGCACGCGGCACGTCAGGCACGTGGGTTGGGGTTAGCTAAATAATGGCTCGACACGATACGACACGAGCCACCACCAAATACGGCGAGGTACGACCCACGGCGGTCCAACACGACACGCTGGCCACCTCTAATGACGATTCCTCCCAAAGCTTGCCCTATAAGTTTATCCAACACTTGAAAAAGCCCTTCATTTCCGCAATTTCCTCAAATGACAGACCCCTCTATGCAAATAAACTAAAAATAATTCACTTTGGTGCTCATCCTCTTAAATGGCGCTTTTTCTCCAATTCAACTTAATTATCCCCAAAAATTAGGGCTTTCTTCATCTTCCATCTTCTCTCTCTCCAAAAACCTCTTGAAATTTCCCCAATTTTCTCTCTCCTAGGGTTTTCAATCCCAGATCTCACCATTAATGGCGATTAATCTAACAGAAGGAGCAATCGAAGCGATGTGTAATGGCGACACTGAGCTTAAACCGTTGCTTCAAGTAGCCGATATTCGACTCGTTAATACTCAAAATGCGACCAGTGCGACTGAGCGTTACCGTCTTTTGTTGTCCGATGGTTTGCATTTGCAACAAGGGATGCTCGCTACTCAGCGTAATGAACTCGTTAAAACTGGGGCGTTGCAAAAGGGTTCTATTATTCGATTGATGCAAGCCGTTTGTAATGTCATTCAAGGCCGAACGTTAGTATCTTTTCTCTTCTTTGCCGTTTTCATTTATCTGTAATTGATGTTAATTGATTTTTAATAATTTGATTTTGGATTGATTGGTTGATTGTGCTTTAGATTGGGTTTTAATTGGAATCAGGGGTGTTGTTGGTTTTCTTTAATTTTTTATGTTTTTGTCTGGTTTTTAAAAGATTTAATTAGACTGTTTAAGTAGGTTTTTTTTTTTTTTTTTTTTTTGTGGGGTAGAGACTGTTTAAAAGGGAGGTTTTGGGGTTCTTTAAATTTTCGTGTATGAAGTTCTTTGAATTGGGATTGTGAGTAGGCGGGGGGTGTTCTTTGATTTGGGTTTTTGTGTATGTTTGATTTTGAAATATTTTATCGTTTTCAGCTGATTTGATTTGGTCTTTAAGAAACTAATGTTGGGTTATTATACTTGCTTTGATGGGTATTCCCTTTTTTGTTCTGATGGTAGGAAGAGAATTATTGCGTTAGGTTTCTGGTTTTTTAGTTTGTTGCTGATGGTTAAAAATTGGTTTTTTTTGGTGGGTTTGGCAATCTTTTGTGTATATATTGAAGATCGCAAGGATTGGATTTTGGTGGAATTGCATGAGGATATGTTTGTAATAGGCAAGTAGCAGTAACGGAATTGTTGGTGCTTCTAATTGGGCTAAAGGTTAGGATTGTTTGTCCTTTTTGTAAAGGGCTAGAGCCTTTACAGGCATAAGATTCATTAGTTCACTTTAAGATTACAACTTGAGTTGCTTAATGATTGATGCAATTGATTTTCTCATCTGAAGTGATTGTATTTCGACCGTGGCGAGGTATAGATATGTATTGTACTCTGTGAGAGTAAGTGAATGGTTTTAGCTGCTCCTGGATCTTTTGAAAGCAAATGTGTCATGTCTTCAAACATCTAGGTGATTATATACTTCTTATAATTAAAAAAAAAAAAAATCAGATGCAAGGTGTCTAGACTGTCTACTCTTCAAGTCCAGACACCAGACTTGTTGTAGTGGCATGGCTATTCATGTGATGCACTAGAATTATGATCTGGAGGGAAAGTCAAAGTATGCTGAGGAATCTATAAAATTTTAATTATGCTTTCAGTTATTCTTAGTTTGCTGATAGTTAATTTATAACATCCTCGATAACATAATTTTAGTTTGCTGATTGTTAGCTTATAGCATCCTTGAATTTATGATTTTAGTTTGCTGATTGTTAGCTTGTAGCATCTTTGATAATACATTTGCTGTGCTGGACTCTTTCTATCTGCTTATGTGTTGTTTTTAGCAATCCTTGATTTCTTGAAGATATTAAGGATTTGGAGTGTGCTGACTTGAATGGTCAAATATTATGCAGGATTATTATTATTATCGAACTTGAAGTGATACAAGAGACGTGCCCAACAATTGGCGAACCAAAGCAAATTGTAAATGGTGATGCTAGACACATTGCTCAAGTTCCTTCCCCTGTGGGTCAAACTGGGATGATTTCTGGGAATGTCCAGCAAGCAAATCTTCAGCCACCAGTCACTGGTTCCATTCCTAGACCTAGTGGTGCAGGGGGTGGTGTTTTGCAGCAGCCAAATCTTGAACGTACTGCTCAAGCACAGTCCTATAGTGGTTCTGTTACCACCCAGGTCTCAGGACATTATCCTACAAATAATGGATCTCCCTTGCGCCCTAAACCAGAATTTGCTGCTGGGAGCACTTTTAATGCTCCTGCTGCTGGTCCATATGGAGCCTTTCACAATGCCAAAACAGATTCCTTACGTGCTCCTACAAATGCTTATTCACGCAATCAGCAACCTGCCTATCAGCAGCAACCACCTTCAATGTACATGAATAGGGGTCCTGTTGCAAAGAATGAGGCGCCCCCTAGGATTTTTCCAATTGCTGCCTTAAATCTTTATCAAGGTCGATGGACAATCAAGGCTAGAGTAACATCAAAGGGTGACCTTAGGCACTATAACAATACACGTGGAGATGGGAAAGTTTTTTCCTTTGATCTTTTAGACGCTGATGGTGGAGAAATTCGAGTTACTTGTTTTAATGCTGTGGTTGATCAGTTCTACAACCAAATTGAGGTAGGCAAAGTATACATGATATCTAAAGGGACGTTGAAACCTGCTCAGAAGAATTTCAATCATCTTCCTAATGATCATGAGATATGCTTGGACACCACATCTATAGTGCAGCCTTGTTTTGAAGATGACAGTCAAATTCCTAGGCAGCAATTCCATTTCCGGCCTATCAGTGACATTGAGGGCATAGAGACCAATGGTATTATCGACGTGATCGGTGTTGTTTCTTCTATAAGTCCATCATCCACAATTATGAGGAAAAATGGAACTGAAACTCAGAAAAGGAGTCTTCACTTGAAGGATATGTCTGGAAGAAGTGTTGAATTGACCTTGTGGGGAAATTTCTGTAATGCAGAAGGACAGACCTTGCAAAGTATGTGTGATAATGGAAAATTTCCTGTTTTAGCTGTCAAATCAGCCAGAGTATATGAATTCAACGGGAAGGGTATTGGAACTCTTTCCACAAGCCAGTTATTTATAGAGCCAGATTTTCCAGAGGCTCAGAACCTTAAGGAATGGTTCGATAGGGAAGGAAGAAACATGCCTTCTGTTTCTATTTCTAGAGAGACAACAAGTTTGGCTAGGACTGATGCTCGTAAGACCTTATCTCAAATTAAGGATGAGAAGTTGGGGACCTCTGATAAGCCTGATTGGATAACAGTCTGCGCCACAATATCATTTGTCAAAACAGACAACTTCTGCTATACAGCATGCCCCATCTTGATTGGGGATCGTCAGTGCAGCAAAAAGGTCACAAATAATGGAGATGGGAAGTGGCGTTGTGATAGATGTGATCAGTCTGTTGATGAATGTGAATATAGGTATATTCTCCAGCTTCAAATACAGGATCATACTAGTCTAACCTGGGTAACAGCTTTCCAGGAAGGTGGTGAACAGATTATGGGCATCTCTGCTAAAAATCTGTACTATTTGAAAAATGAGGAACAAGATGATGAGAAGTTTACAGAAATTGTTCGTGCAGCTGTTTTCAATAAATACATATTTAAGCTGAAAGTAAAGGAGGAGACTTTCAGCGATGAGCAGCGTGTTAAGTCGACAGTAGTGAAGGCAGAGAAGGTCAATTTTACTGCTGAATCCAGGTCTATTTTGGAATTGATGAATAAAGTTAAATTAGGTGATTCTGGTGCCCCAGGTGCCAAATTAGGGAATGCCTCTGCCAATTTTGGAGCAAACAGATCAGGAATTGGTCATGCTGGAATTAGTCAGCCTGCAGTTTCTGGTGTGAGCTATGGAACAAACTCTGCTCTTTCTGGGAGAGAAGCAGGCATGCATACTAACAATAGCCAGTTTGGGAATCAGTATAGTGGTGGGTACGCTGGTGGTGCTACTGCTTCTGGAATGCCTATGACTTGTAGTAGCTGTGGTGGTATTGGTCATAGTTCAGCTACTTGCCCTAGTATTATTAACAGTCCAGCAACCTTTGGGAATCAAACAGTTCCTGCCGGTAGCAATTCTGGACAGTGTTATAAATGCCAAAAATTTGGGCATTTTGCGAGGGACTGTTCTGGATTAAGTGCTGTGCCACCAGCTTATGGTGGTAGTAACATGGGTCCTGGTAGATATGGTGGTGGCCAGAGACAACACGTTGGAGGTTTTTAAATTTTAGATATTAGGAGACGTCTGTACAGAAGTGTTGGCGCTGGATTTTGATTGATACTTTATATCTCCTGGCTTAGGTTTGACACTGTTTCTGGTGTGTTTTGACTCTGTACAGCAGTCCGCAGATGTCTGTAATAAATAAACTGATACTTTGTCATCTGAGCCTAAGGAGATTCTGGCACAGTAGATTGGTTTTGCTATGATATTGTAGTGTAGTTAAGAGGTTTCCTTTTCTTACATTATTTTAGTTTCACATTTTGACTTGGTTTATCGAATGGATATTAGTTTATGTAATTTAGTATAATCTGCTTTCACTCTGTACTATATGTAACGTTTCCTTAGCAGCTTGATTGTGCATAGTGCCTTTTGTTTCTCCTGGTTGGATGCAATTTCTGTTTTAAAAAGTCTTTTACTGTGAAATACTACTCATAAACTGATTTTGATGCTCTTTTTTCACAGCATTATGACAAAAAGGATACCCCCGTCCTCTGTTTTACATCAAGGACATTTGATAATCTATTTAAGAATACGGAGTAAAAGCAATTGTAGCAAAATTGATTTTTTTTTTTGGTAACGGAAAGATGTACAAAGCTAGGGGAGTCCCCTTTCAAGAGTTCAAGGCAATTGTTCGTTGCACAAAATTAACAGAACTCTTTAAAGTTGAGAACATTGTACTACGTATTTGCCTGTTTGGTTTTGTATTTTAGTTCAATATAGACAGACCGAAATAGTGTCAATGAAGATCACTTAACACAAACTTAAGCAAATTACAAACTAGTATAATCTACATAGCAAGCTTTATTGGTTTACTAACTCAATTAGTTCATAATGTCTTATTTCATCTTACTCATTCTTAGAAACATACATTAGTTCCAGATGAGCCTGCATTATTGTGCTTGCTGGAAAGTGTACCAAACATCACCTGCTGATTCCCACAAGAATTAGTGATGCTGTCATCAACACGGCCTGTACTACAGCCTGGAAATTCTTGATAAGCAGCTTTCTCTGAAGTTATAATTTGATTTTCAGTCACTGCGTTCATCCGAATTCTCTCTGCTCTTGAGCCAATTACCTGGCCTAGAATTGACGCACCAATTGTTAAGGCCATTGCAGTCTTGGGCATCAAGACAGCCTTTCTAAGCATAGCTACAAAGGGTACAGCAGCATGAACTGCAATGAACCATGACAATGAAAACTTCTGGGTGTGTTCTCTCCAAATCCCAAGAGGTACATTAGCTGCCATGCCCAATGCAGCAATGCAGAGCATCTTTGCTGGTAGAGGTTGCGGGCGGAGGTTTTTCACAAAGGCAGTTCGAGCAAGAGCAGCCCTGGCAGCCACTATAGCAGGTGGACAATGGAGCTTCATACCTGATGGTGGTTGCAGAGCCTTGGCAACTAGGGGAAGCACGTGACCTACAGCCCGGTAAGACTTTGCGATTGGGCAGTTCCCGCTTTGTAACCACTCATTGCTGAGGGCCTCATGTTCTGCTGGATTTCCTTCCTGAATATGAGAAAACATATGTAAAAAGGTTCTTTATTTTTTTTAGTCCCTCAAATGAAAATAAATGACAAGTGATGTTATGTAAAAATCATATAGTTTTGTGGTTCATGGTTTTCCTACAAGTATCAATTTCTCAGAGCACACCAAGAAAATTTTATGAAACTTGTATTCCAACGAGCCCACAATTTGTTCTTCAAGAAAAACGCAATAACTTACATGAGAAACACGATCCTTTTTTCCTGAAGACTCAGATTTCTGCTTCTGTTTCTTCCACTTGTCAGAAAAGAAATTGAAGCCAAATGGGCCCCCAAGTCCAAATGCTGACAAACTAATCGTGGCTGCCTTTGTAGCCAACGGGTTAAACATCGGAGAAGAATGGGGTTCCAAATGATCATCAGCATGAGAATTTGGCCTCCTTGTGAGTGGAACAACCCCATCCTTCCCATGGAAAAGGTTGAAAGCCAAATCGAAGTTTGGACCATCTTCAAAAATTGGACCCTTGGATCCAGCAGCCTGCAGCAGTAGAAGCAATTATGATTTTCGGAAATAGTGAAGAGAATTGACATCACTATGAAATAAGAAATAATATACCACCAAGTAATACGTAGTTGATAGATAAGAAATCTTGTGAATTTTCTAGATTAGAAAACCATAGACAAGAGACACTGGATTAGCAATTTAGCACTCACTGGAACTGGAAGATTCACAGGTGCGAATGACAAGTTTGTGGGTTTGCTAATGTTCCTCAAGAATGGACATTGCTGGATATCTTGTTCATCATAGGGGCATTCAGATGCCGTCTCCTTCATTTTGTTAAGAAAGAAATCCATAAAACCTCTTGTGGCTTTGGCCTGCAAGAAGAGAGATTTCCAGAAAATAAAAGCTAATCAGAATATGATATATTAGCACCGACAAGGCAACAAGCAACAGAAATGTTATGGAGAAATGCACAGGATTGTCTTCAATATGCACTGGATCAGTAAAAACGTATCAGTTAGGCTGAATCAGGGTTCTGCTAAAATTATATTAAGGAAGCTGGGGCGCTATCAATATTGATAGTAATCAAAGTACCAAAGTATATATCATCTAGCACTCTAGCAGGCTTTAAATGGACAAGAGTAATTTGCAGCCACCTCTACCCCACATCCTTTGAATGATTCGTAGGTTATTTATTTTTAATCAGTCCAGAAGTTTGAGTAGTTCCTCGTTTCCTCCAGTCAAATTTACACAGAGAAAGATGTCATCGAGAGAACTTTATACCTCCACTCTAGGAACAACAATTAGCAGTACTTCATACAAAAAAAGCAAAATTATTTCTGTAAGAATATTAAGCGTCGCAATTGTGATGGATTCTTAAGCTCATTCCCTTTGAGTCTCCAATGTAAACACAGGCAATTCAGCTAACACTATAGCCATTACCAGTAGAAAATATTGTTAACTTAGTGCACATATCATCACACTAAAACATATAAATGTTCATAATGAATCCTATTACAATGGTGAGCAAGTATATTCTACATCCATGATCCAGCAAGCTTTCTTGTTCAACAATGTCTCTAACTAATGGAGCTTTTGATCATGGCATTTTTAACCAAATGTAGCATGCGCACGCTACAACCAAGACTATTTTTTTACACGTACCGAGCAATTGATTGTACAATAGATATTGTAGACCAAACAACTAGCATGTACAGATTCCCCTAAGGTAGATTAACAAGGGTCCTATCTCACCTACCTTAAAACCCCCCAAAAACAAATTAAAATTTCCCAGTTACAAAATTGGACAGAACCCCAATTTGATTCACCCAAAACAACATATTTTCCCCAGAGAAATCCAGAAATTACAACAAATTATGATTCCAAAACAGTACAATTTTCGCAGAGAAACCCAGAAACCCATTTTCATAAATACAATGATTAAGAAAATGCAAATGTACAATTGACAAGAAAAGGAAAGATTCAATCTTTAATTATAACCAAATTAAATGAAAATACATTAATATTAAAAAGGAGAGAAAATCTTACAGAAAAAATGGGATTTGGGGAAGATGGAGAAACAAAGCAGAGAGAAACGTGTGGAGAGCACAAGTTTTGATTGTCCCTAAAATTTTCAATGAAGGAGAAAATTGGGGAACTTTTTTGTAATTTAATATGGAAAATAAATTAAGGTTAACATTGAAGAGAAGGAAAAAAAATTAAAAAATAATAATAATAAAATTGTTGGTGGAAGCTTTACAGCTCTGACCCCACCTGTATTGACTTTTTTGGTGGTCAACAAGCCTTTGTTTGGGTATAGTGGGCTGGGTCGAGATACAGTTTGAGTAATTGTCATCGGCCCATAATGAAACAGGGCCAGCCCATGTTCTAGTGAAGGTTGAGAGATGGGCCGGTCCTTATAGCCTTGATTTGTCATGCTTTTGTTAGATTGAATGAAAAGTAAACTCCATTAGATACTTTCGGTTGTTTCACATAAAAAGGTACTCCGTATGAATGTAAAGTAGTATTTGATTTTATACTAATATTGATTTATTTTATATAAATGTAAAATTTATTTGGTATTAGTTTTATTTTTGCTAACATTTTAGTGTTCTATTTATCCACTTTTTTAGATTAGATATAGTTGGTTGTGAATGAAGTTGATGATTCTATTGAAATAGAAAATAAATGGTATATATGTTTTTTTATTTTTTTAAATTATATTTCTTACATATATTTATCGAGTTTCCATCTTTGACATAATAAGCTTTCTTAAACAAGATAACTTATTAACTTAATATGTTTAATTTGAATATAGATCATATGGTCCTATTGATCATATCATATCACTAATATATAAAGTCAGTCTCACAGTCATGTCACGAGACAGTGTCACTTGACATTCTGGTTTTTTTCTAAGTGTCGCGCCACGTAGACAAAAAATAGGTATCATTTATTTGTCTTAAAGATTAACTTCTCGTATTAATAATAAACTTAATTATGAATTTATTTCATCTTATGATTTGTTATTGTTATAAAAAGGCATTAATTCTAATTAAATAAGAGGTTTGTAACTTCTTTTAGAATTAAATAATGCAAATTCCATAAGTAAAATTGGCGAATAAGATTTTAAAGCTTAAATTAATAAAATATACTCCGTATAATACAGTATTTTGACATTAGGAAATTCATCTAAATATATAATGAATCGGAGAAAATTCCCTTGAAATCTGCATACAAAAACAATATAAGTTGTAAAAAAAAACAAATAAATGTGCCTCGCACGAACTTTATTCAGATCAGTAACTTGTATTTAATAATTACAAGCAAGGACTTATTTAGTATGTACGGAGTACAACCATTGTGGATGGGTATTACAAGTACTCCCTCCGTCTCTTTATTAGAAGCCTAATTCCAATACTTATTACACACATAATAAATAAAAAATAAATTTGTAATTTAAAGACGGAGGGAGTAACATTTAATTTAATTTAATATAATCGGGTAGAAATAAAGAATACCCTTACATAGAAAGATAGATGGAATGGTTGGGCAAATGATATTGCGGAGATCGATCAATCTTTATAGCATGTACCAACCAGGGAATAGACATGGAAGCGGACGCAGTGAAAGCCATTGCAACAGCTACGGCCAAGATAACAATCTTCCGTAGCTATGCCGCACGGTTCGCATATATAGTCGGCTGCAAAAGAAGGATTACACTCGAAGCCGTAGCAACATTGTTCATCATCATCGCACAATTCGCCCTCTTTAAGGCATTGACTATCAGTGACCCGCGCTCCTTGGAGCATGATGTTAGCAATTGGGAGAAACTTCTCCTGCTTCTTGGTGGTTTTTTCACCCCCAAATTGCCCCCCCCCCCCCAATGCACCAATAATCATGGCTATCAAAATTAACATAATAATACACTTCATTTTTATTATTAGTGCTTGCTACCAATAAGCTTGGACAAATGGATACAGGATAACCCAACATCGTAACCGGATACGGCATATATATAATTAAAATAAGTACTACGTAGTACGTACTATCTATTGATATTACTTGTATCAATTTTGTACACCACCTCAACCTACTACGTATTATCTGTAGAATTAATTATATGAACAACTCCTGCAAACATATTACAAGTATTAAGTACTACCTCCGTTTTTTTTTAGTTGACACCGTTTGACTTTTACACTATTCACACACTACACTTTGACTCGCTTTTGTGACTTATAGATACGATAAAATATAGTCATATGAGATCTTGTTTGAATCTTCCTAATATATATTTTTATTAATATCGAGTACTTTTTATAATTTTACAATGTTGATAATTAGAGATATTAAATGTTAAAAACATGTGTTGGCAAGCGTGATATTAGAAAGGTGTCAACTAAAAAAACAGAGGTAGTATAACGTAAGGTTTAGACTAAAGAGTAAAGACTAAATACAATACGGAGTATAAAAAAATTTAAATTGTAACTAATTATTTTTGTTACATGTGTTCATATGTATACTTTTAAATGTTCTTTGGATTGGAGCAATTTTTTGTTGATTATAAATTTTAGAGAAATTCTCTATGGTAAAATCAAACTTTTTGACACATTCCTTTAGCCACGTTCGCCAATGTACAACTTTAATCTTTAATATTTTTAATTACCAATAAACAAAAATTATACTACATAAAAAGTTGATATTTCAATACTATTATTGAATTTGCAACTTGCTAACCCATGTGATCATGCAAAAAGTAACATAAAGTAAATGAAAGTTCGATTAAATGAAAAAAAAAAAGTAATTTATCAATCATGGATTCACATTCGTATAGTAGACATAAATTCTAATAAGGAGGACATTCTATCCAAAAGAAAAATCAAGGATAACAAAAACGTCGGCGAAAATGCTCCCAAATTGACGGTACAATAAATTAATACTAATTAGTTAACTAAAATTTGGACAAGTAGTTTGAAAAGCCAAATATTAATCTTTGATTTTAAAGTCTAACAACTAAGATGAACATGGACTGTTTTGGCTGTTTTTGTGTAAAGTCATGTGGATTTTCTTTGATAAACTTACTCCTTTGTTTTATGATACTTATTAATACCGACATATTTATAAATAAATATCATTTTCTTTACAACTATATACTATATGTATGACGGCAACTCCATGCATTTGTCCCTTTCTCGATCTCTGATGTTTCATTTAAACTTCGTGAATGTAACAGTGGTGTATAATGTATAGTTCTATAGTTTCACATGCATGCAGTAATATTTATTGTGCTACCTTCATTCATGTCTCAAATTAGGTGAAATATATCAATATACAATAGGTCCATACTCCATAATACTACTATGGATCGGATCTCAACTAGTTATGATTGAGCACGTATCAAGTGTTTGGAATAGGTTTAGGAATAGTCAAGCCTTGTGTACAAATAAATGAGTTGTGTTTATTAGAATGGGCCAAGAGAAAGTCATAGAATCATAGCGAGCTAGTGTCAATCATGCATATATAGAGTCCATGCATGGCCTATACTGTCCTACATGCAGTATCATGTCATGCTGGGCATGGCATATACATGTGACAGGTTCTTGCTGGATTGGGCCATTTTCATGTCGTGCTTGACCGATTAATCCTCAAACTTTAAAAGGCATAATCAAACTCGGCCATCCCCAATTGCCCATCTTTACAACTAATGTATGTAGTTATTATTTTACAAATTGTATTATAAGGTGACCTGGCCTATATATCACAAATCATATTATTATTGAATCTCATCTACATCATATGTCCGCTACTAATATACTATTATAAATTAATAATGATCATAAAATGTGAGTGTGAGTGACACTGATAATATGATAGGACGATATTTGCTAAGTGTGGTGGCGCATCATCAGGAATGAATGGTGGTGGCCTAAATGCTTGACCTCTAAGCCAATTGTCCAATTTGATGTATGAGTTAGATTTCAACAAGTACATGTATGGTTGTGGCTAAGCTAGCTAGGACAATTGCTATGATTGGTGAATCGAGGGGGGAAAAAATACATAAATTAAAATTAGGTAGACCTCTTTATCAAAAATTTAATGGGTCATAGTCAATATCTTAATTAGCTTGAATACAAGAAATAATGAAGGAAATCCAACTACCCGTATATAGTAGAATGTAGATGGATTGGAGCTATACAAATACAATCAAACGACGAATTAAGTCACATGTAAGCGGGTCCTTTCCACCCTACCAAAGAAAGGACATGGGTTGCCATGTGCTTTGCTACATAGTGAATCTTAAAAGTTTGAAAAAAAAAATAAATAAAAAAAAAATAAAAAAAAATAAAACACACTCTAAAATATTAAAATTAAAAAATCATTTCTTTAGTTAAATAAAGGGTAAAAAAAATTATGTAGTATATTTTTGGATGTTCACCCTACTCAATGCTCTTATACTTTCAAAACTGCTTAATGTTCTTATACTTTCATATTTTATATATTTTTTTTTTTGGAATTATAAATTTCTCAAATGAGTTCAATTTGGATGTGGTTTGAGGCAAATATACTAGGCTTATGATTGATAACAAAAGTTGGAAAATTAATTAAAATGATGAGAAACTGTTCATCAAATTTAACGTTTCCAATTCCAAATATTTAGTCGTGCACAAGCAAGTAGCAGGGCAATATTGCATTTTTATCCTTTGACTTCGAGCTAATTGATGTGGCAAGCAAGGCTGAATGTGGTCTTAACTATTACGAGTATACGGTTACACCACATCTATCTGAAACTAACAATATCTTAAAATTTTTGCGAGTTATAAATTAAATTGAGATATATACAAGTGTAAATGTGCGTTTAGGATTAAAGTGAGTACTATATAAAGATGTTTAAAAAAATGTTCACCAACACAAATATACGAGCATAAAGTATATATGGAGGAAGTAGACTCTTTATTCTTATAACTTAAGTTTTGTTTGGTTAAATTTGCAAGATATTTTAGATTTTGTGAAAAGGTTCCACTATACTATAACCACCAACATTATTGTGTTGGTGTACTAATTTATTTAGTATTCACAAAAGTCAACTTTTTATTTGTTAAAGAAAAAAAAAAGAAAAAGAAAGAAGACAAGTGTCAACATGCAAGACGTAACTATTGCAATATAAGTATGCAACAATGGTGATG